GTAGGTAATGTGGTTACTTCTGGAACTCACTCTGTAGACCAGGCTAGCCCCAAACTCACAGAGCTCTGCCTGCTCCATCCATGCTTCCCAACTGATGGGATTAAAGGCTTGTGTCACCAGCTGAACCCCTCTTAAGAAAGAATTACTGCAGGAAACGGAGTGAGTCAGGACTCACCAAGGTTGGTACATAAGTTCAGTTCTCAAAAATCAGATGAATCTTTAAAAAAACTCCCACAAAACCTTCATAGGCACTTGAACCAACTCTACCAGTACCTGACACCTGACGTTGACTTTTCTAGAGAGACAGTTTCTGTTTAGAGCAAAATGTGAGAACTCCTCTCATGGTCACCTCACCTCTGACTACAATTCTCAGGTGTCTGTGCTCTCCTACACTTACCTGCGACCTCAGAGTGGCCACACTCGAGCTGTGGGACACTTGCTGTGGAAACGTACTTTCAATTCTCTTAGACCAATGTGGCTTAGCACTTGCCGCTTATGAAATGCTTTACTAGAGAACACAAGAACATATGCTAACATTGTGTAGGTATGTGGAACTTCAGTCTCTGACAATCGCACAACTCCTCACAGGAATGTAAAAATGGTGCAGCACTTTTCAAAGAGAAATGAAAGCACACAACCACATCAACATGTGTGAACTAGGCTGGAGAGATGGCTCAGCAGGTAGAGCACTGACAGCTCTTGCTGAGAACCCAGGTTCTGCTCCCAGCACCCTTAGCTCCAGAAGATCTCACACCTTCTTCTGGTCTCTATAGGCACTGCACACACACAGTGCAAAGACATACATGTAGGCCAAACACCCATACATATATCAAATACATCTCAATTTTTAAAAAATTTGTACAGTTACCAAAGCACTATGCAAATGCCCATCATCTGATAAACACATCAATAAAATGTGGTAACAACAGAGTAATATTCAGTCATGACAAGATTTGATACATGCTGTAATGGAGATGAGCCTTCTAAGACTATACAAACTGAAAAGAGCCATCACAAAGGGTACATGAAGAAAGTTCAGAGCAGATAAATCTAGAAACATAAGTCGACTGACTGGTGGTTCTCTAGGGCTGTGTGTGTGCTAACAGCTAACAAGTATCTTTCTTGTGGTGGTGATAGCTTCCACATAACTGATTATCTACACTCACACACATACTCACACACACACTCACACACACCCACACACCCACACACACACACCCAATCACACACCCACCCAATCACACACACACACACACACACACACACACACACACACACACAATCACTCTTGGGAGTGTGTGCACTCTAGTTGCCTTTTCTTTTTAGTTCAACAACAGTTGAGACTTTCTGTACAGCAAGCACTATTCTAGAAGTATGTGCGTAAAAATACCAAGACAAGCACCTCCTCTATTATTTAGCTTCTTACAACTGTGGATATTGGCTCCGTATGGAGGGAAGGAATTAAAAAAAAATAAAAAAGAATCTTGAACAAAAGCTAAACTTTCTAGAAAATGCAACAACCAAAATTAATTCAAAATCAAACATATAATGAATCCAAAGCCCTCAGCAGCACTTGCTGGTGTTGCGCCATGAGCTTCAGGGCAGCCTGGTTCTGAACACAGGTGTGTGCTTTGCAGTGTGCACGCTCATGTGCAGTGCCACTCATCAATGCTGCCTGAGATAGCTCAGCTCAGACCCAAGACTTCAGTGTCCTAAGAACTGAGATGTTTTCACTGTGCAAGTTTTCTGTTCTTATACAATAATGGTTTAAGAACAAAAACCAACATTTTTACCATTTGTCCTCTGCATAAAGTATCAAGCTCTAATATCTTTTGAAATGTTCCTAAACATACCTGTCATCTGGTATTATATATTAATCCAGGTGGCCTTTTCAGTATTGACCATTATCAATGAACTCTAAAAAACATCCAAGATGCTCAACACTTGGTGGTATCAAATATTCAGTCAATATTTAACTCTTTCAGAATACACAAATTTATCAATCTCCATTAGCATGCAAGTTTGCTTTCATTTTTAATAAATGGTAAAAATTATATGCATGCTAAAAATTGTTTTAAAATACATATTTGTAGCTGGGCAGTGGTGGTGCATGCCTTTATTCCCAGTCCTGAGAGTTTGAGGCCAGCCTGGCCTACAGAGCTAGTTCCAGAGAAACCCTGCTCAGTGGTTAAGAGCACTGACTGTTCTTCTAGAGGTCCTGAGTTCAATTCCCAGCAACCACATGGTGGCTCACAACCACCTTGAATGAGATCTGGTACCCTCTGCTGGCGTGCAGGCAAAAGACTGTATACATAATAAAATCTAAAACAAAACAAAACAAAAACAACAACAAAGAGCCTTGTTACCAGTAGATGTTTAATTTGTATATTTGTTGTATATATCCAGGATCACAAAACAATTTCTTGGGCTAGGAGCTAGAGAGATAGCTAGTGGATAAGAGTGGCTGCTCTTGCAGAGGCCTTGGGCTTGGTTCAGCACCTAGAGGCTACTTAAAGTCATCTGACCCCTCTTCTGGCCTCCACAGTCTCTGAGCATGAAGGTGGTGCACATGCACATGCAAGCAGAACACCCTTAACATACAAAAGGAATCTTAAAGTTTCTCTTTTAATCTCAACAGTCAGGAGGCAGAAGCAGGTGGATCTCTGTGAGTTCTAGGCCAGCCTGGTCTACAGAGCGAGTTCCAGGCCGGCCAGGTATGCAATACAAAGAAACCCTGTCTTGGCGCGCGCGTGCGTGCGTGCGTGTGTGCGTCCGTGCGTGTGTGTGTGTGCGTGTGTGCGTCCGTGCGCGTGTGTGTGTGTGTGGACACATGATGACAAAACACACACACACCCCAAAACCAAAACAACAACTACAACACTAACAAAAGCCAAGTCTTTCTTGAGATAAAAGCTGCAAATGGACAAAATTTATGAAGTCGTGCTCCAATGGAACTTGCAGTCCAGTAGATGGATACACAGCTTTAAAACATACACTAAGCAAGATGCTGCATAATGGGCTGGCTAGGAAAGGAGCCATCTCTGAAAAAGTAATGCTTGAGGTTAAGCAGGGTCAGCCACAAAAAGATAAGGGGACAACTCAACAGAGGAAATGCTTTTGAATGGTATGATCAAGAAGACAGGGATGGACCGCATGCTGCTAGTGACTGACAGTCTTCCGTGATCTCATCTACTAACCTAGTTTGGGAAAGGTGGCTTCAGGCTGTGGATAGACCCACAGTGACAACTCTCATGAGCCTTTTCAAAAAAATTTATATTTTGAGATTACAATACAATAACATCATTCTTCCTTTCCCATTCCCCTCTCCCAACTCCTCCCATATACCCCCCTCCTTATCTCCTCACAAGTCTTTTTCATTTTTAAATTTTTTTGAGAAAAGGTCTCTTGACTGGGCTGGCTTCAACCTTAGAGATCCTTCTGCCTTTGCCTCTCAGGCTCTGGTATTAAAGGCTCTCCTCACAAGTCTTTAAGAAAACCATTGCTGGACAGACAATGCAGCAATGTGATGTTTCCCTTCTTTTCTCGGGCCTTCAGCAACTCTTCTCTATTAGCCATTCTTGCTAAAAGTCCCAGACAAATCAGACACACACCTAACAGTCTTTAAGGTAGGCAACAATCTAGCAAATCAAAAATTGCATGCACTCGTACACACATACACACCAATACCAAGTCAAAGTGAGATGTAGGAGAGAACTGTAAAATGAATTCAGCAGAAACAGTGCAGGAAAAGTTCATGTGGTAGGGACCGAAAAGGGAGTATCTAATTATGACTGTGGATCTGGACTTGTGCGTAAAAATAAACACATTTCTTTTGTTTTAGTATCACTGGTTCACTTTAAATAGACTTTAAATTATTTTCAGCTCCCCAAGCAGGCATCAAGCCCAACGAACAAAGCTTTCTCTTTTTCTTCTTCTTCTTCATGCTTCTGTGACATTCAACACAGTATTCTCAAGAGCCGGCTCAGTCATTTATTGATTTGCTACAATGGATGAGTCTACGCTTTCACAACTGAAGAATGGCTAAGAGATATATAACCATAAAAAACCATTTGTGTTTATATACATAATATCACTGCACTTTTAATTCACAATCTTACAGATTGTATTAGTTCTTTTTTTGTTTTTTTGTTTTTAATTTTCCAGCCACTCGCCCTGTGAAGTCAGCAATGCTCTCAAAGTTCTTCCTGCCTCAACTTCTTGAGTACTGGAATTACAGGTATGGGTCACCATACCTAGCCCACAGAATTTTTGTTTTAAACATTAAAAAACACGTTTAAAATTGTGTGTGTGTGTATGTAGATGTGTATGTGTGTGCATGTATATGTGTGCATGTGTGCGCGCATGCATGTTCACATGAATGCAGGTAGCTGAGGCCAGAGGCATCAGAGCTCCCAGAGCTGAAGTCACGGGCAATTGCCAGCAGCCTGACATGGGTAGAGGAAACTGAACTCAGGTCCTATGCAAGAGCAGCTTGTTAATCATTCTTGAGCCATCTCTTCAGCCTTTCACGAACTTATTTTAAGTTTGCATTACTAAAGTGAAGCTTGTACTTCAAACTGTTTCTTTTTCCCTTTTCATGTGTGTCTGTGTTCCTTTTACTTTGGTCACTGAGGTAGGGTCTCTCGGTCAAACCAGAGGCCCCTGACAGGGCTAGTCTCACCAGCCAGCTTGCACAGGGTCTCTGTCTAACTTGAGAGGCTGTAATTACAGACAGGTCCCATACCCACCTGGCATTTTCATGAGCTCTGGGGATCCAGAGTCCAGTCTTCCTGTTTGTGTAGCAAGTGCTTTTAACCACTGAGCCATCTCCCTAACCACCACCCCCCCATTTTTTTCCATCGAGCAAACCTTCATACGCAGCCCCTCAGAATTCTTTCCCAATCCCAACACAACACATTAACCACTGAAGAAAAGCCAAACAACATTCTTTTGAAGCAATGTCTCAGTATCTCCAAAAAATATTCCATGGCCAAACTCACCATAGAGAGCTGTCCAAGTTTGATTAATTACATCTAGACACACAGTTCCTGACCTGAAACAGATGAAAAAAAATGGCACTTTTAAAAAATTAGAAATCTAGTTGCATGTTTCTGGCAGCTAATTTTATCAAAAAACACTTTGTAACATCCTGTAAGATGCAGGTGAGAATAGGGAGATGAGAAGCACAGGTATTTACAAGCTCTTTTGTGCCTCCTTTACAGCCAACAAGGAACAAGAGCAACCATATGAAGAAGAAAACACCTGAACCAGGTGTTGAGAATTAACCCAAGGAACAAGGGTAGATAAACCTATGATTCCCCGAGGACAGAATTTCACTATATAGTCAAGTGTGTGCATATTCTGAGTCTCCTAAGGAAAGCAGACAAACACAAATTAAAGATTAATTAATTTACAATAACTTCATTTCTTAAAACCTTAACTTTATAGCAGACACAAATTGAGGAACTGATCCTGATTAAAGTTATTTCAGGAACTTGACAACTAAAGGTAGCATGAGTCTGACATTACTGCACTACAGACTAGATAAAAAGTATTGCATCATACTAAATTCCTGAATCTACTTTACTGGGGTTACCTAAGAGAACATCCTGTCATTAGGATGGTGGATACACAAAGTACTGAAGATTAAGGGACACAATGTAGACATGTAACCTACACATACAAGGTTCACAAAAATCTATGCAGTTGTTGAGACAGCACAAACTGAAGCTGGACAAAGAAAAGAGTATAGTCCAGATAACCAGCACTAGAAGGACAAGACAGGCTAACAGTCCTTAAGAAACAGATAATTAAGATCAACTAAAATGAAATTATTATCATTCATATTTGTCTCAAGAACTAAGAAACATGTTAAGGGCTGACAGTAAATCCATATGCTGACAAAGGTCTTTGAGTTGGGCCTATACGTAAGACTGAGATGTGGATTATTTCAGCTGGATATCAAAAGAAATGAAAAGGCCTACTCATGAAAATGGGAAAATGGGAACAGTACAATCGACAATTGCACTGGAAGCTCAAAAATGGCTTAGACGATCACATCCCTAGGACCATCCATACAGTGCTGCCTCCCCAACAGTGAAAGAGAGATGACCTCTAATAAATCAAGAACAGCTGCTGCTAAAATTTAAACATTTTTAAATAGTTACTTACGCTTCATCAATGTTGGGGTGGAAAATTTTATTCATGAATCCTGCAAAAAGAGATGTTAATTAGCAGCACAAAGTATGCAGAGAACATCGAATTTTAACTTGTCAGTACTGGAGACCATTTTAGGATTGGAAATGGAGGCAACACTCAAATTGTTACTTTCAGCCTTAGATCTTTGGATACTTGTAAAATTATTTTCACCCCAACTAACTAAAACACAAAGTTCTATAAAAAGCACACAAACTTTGGGACCATGCAGCTTTTTGTATAAGATAATCTTAAAAGCAACTATCTTCTGAAACATGAAGGAACTTGTCAAAACAGAATATATAATATTAAATAATTTATAACTAGTGCCACAATGGAAGCTAAGAAATGTTCAAAGCAGTTGAACTGTTGGAGCCTTACTGGAGGTCCACACTTGCACTTTGGAAGCATATGTACAAGTATCCTTTGGCCACACAGTGGAACATGAATGACGCTGCTTAAGTTAGAAGAATACCACTTTCAAACCACAAAATGTCACAAGAGCCGTAACTAAAGCAGCTCTTGTGAGTCTATACACTCAGTCAATTCTGATTAAAATTGGGGCAACCAAGCAATATGGCAAGGACTTAAAAACATATTCTCTAAGAAAGCTGAATCTGCAGCACTTGGGAGGCAAAGGCAGGCATATATATCTGTGAGTTTGAGGCCAGCCAGGGCTGTTCCACAGAGAAACCCTGTCTAGAAAAACCAAAGGGATGGGGGTGGGGTGGGGGAAAAATAGCTGAATCTGCTAGAGGATAACTTTTAAAATTTATTCCTAGAGAAAAGCATCAACTTAAAAATTTATTGCTAGCTGGGTGGTGGTGGCGCACGCCTTTAATCCCAGCACTCGGGAGGCAGAGACAGGAGGATCTCCGTGAGTTTGAGACCAGCCTGGTCTACAAGAGCTAGTTCCAGGACAGCCTCCAAAGCCACAGGGAAATCCTTTCTTGGAAAAAAGAAAAGAAAACAACAACAACAACAAAATTGCTGCTCAAATCCCAAGGAGGAATTTATTCATTTTAAACTTACTAATGCAAACAACAATATCCTAAGCAGAAACTCAAAGCTCTTCATTGTACCATAGTATTACCATGTTTCCCTACTAGGACTGTGTTGTCCTGTCTGTCACTTTCAACAAGTTCCTCTAGGATGACTCTCCCCCACTGTCCCCACACTACCCTCTCATCCCTTTCCTACAGTTTGATTGGTCCTTCCAAATATGCTTGTCAGCGTCTACTTGGCAGTCATTTAGTTAGTGTACAAAAATGAGACTGTACACTATTCTCCCAGAAGTTACTGTAGCAGCAAGCCAAGAGACAAGAAGAAATAACTGCTGTACACAGGAAATATGGACACAATCAGAGAGCACACATGGAAAGAGAAGACAGAGTATGGAAATAGATGCCACAAACTCAGGAGGAGCCTAAAGTGACTTCCCAAAACCTTACAACATCCCTCAAATTAGGATAAGAACACAAAAGCATGGGCACTTCACACTCTGCTCTAGACATTCCAAATAACAATTCTACTCTTTAATTCATCTTTAGGACTTTAATATTGCAACTTCCAACTGTTTAAGGCTTTATCTACGATTACAGTTAAGACAGTCCTGTAATATATATAAATAACTTTGGTGTAAAAGGCTGCACCAATATTAATTTTTCATTAAGGAAAATTAGGGATGCTTAAAAGATATCCCAAGCTAATAGAAGTGCTCATATTATAAAAGGAAAATTTTTTCCTAGGGTTAATAACATGTTAATAACATACACATCCAGGTTAAGCTTTGAGAATACTGTAAGTTAACATTGTAACATTTAGGCAGGGCTGGTGCACACCTTTAATTCCAGCACTATACAGAGGTATAAGCTGGAGGATCTCTGAGTTCGAGGCCAGCCTGGCATACATAGTGAGGTTCCAGGTAAACTAGGGCTACACAGTGAGGCATCTTTAAAAGGTGGAGGGGAAGACTGGAGAGATGGCTCAGGGGTTAAGAGCTCTCTCTCTTCCAGAGGATCTGAGTTCAATTCCCAGCACCCAGATGGTAGCTCACAACTGTTTGTAACTACAGTTTCAGGGGACTTGACACCCGAATACAGACATACATGCAAATAAAACACCAATGCACATGAAATAAAATAAATTATTTTTTTAAAAGTCAACTAAAAACCCAGACTGGGGGTGATGGTGCACACCTTTAATCCCAGCACTCTGGCGGCAGAGGAAGGTCAATCTCTGAATTTGGCACCAACTTGGTCTACAGAGCAAGTTCCAGGACAGCCAGGACTGTACAGAGAAAACCTGTCTCTGAGGGGATTAAAAAAAAAAAAAAACAACTAAAAACCCTCAAGTCCTACAGATGGGACTAAAGAACAGAATACCCACGGACTTGGGATCTATGCAGCCAAGCATAGTGAACTAGACCAATGCGTCCACTTGGAGAGATCTAAAGTTAAGTTTCAAGCTGCCTTCTAAATATTTGTTTATACCCAGATTAGTGTGAAGCTGTCAGCCTTCTCAAGGGAACTTTCTCCAGTGGACAGTAGTTAATGCAAATGGTGACTACTCGAACACTTAGCCCTAAATTGGACGACATATCAAACCCCAAGGACCCACACCAAGGTGGCAGAAGAATGTTAAGAGGTGGAGGAGGGCGAGGAGCACTGTGGTAACGTACTAACTTCTGGACATGAGAGGTCATAAAGCGGGGGTGGGGTAGGGGGAGCACACTGGGAATTTTGGGGAAGAGCAGAAGGAATGAGTGCGGGGAGTAGCTATAATAAAGATATAAGTTACACATGTATAAATTTGCCACAGAAAAAAATTAAAAATGCTTGTTAAACAAGTCAAAACCACATAACAGACTGAGTTGATAATACAGTACTACTTAAATGATAATAAATTAATATTTATGCTCTGTGCTTTAGGAGAAAATTCTATTGAACCATATATATCAAAGTTGCAAAGGTATTTTAACTAGGCTACAGAGCCATGGCTGCAGTGGACATGGAAACACAGACCGGGGAGCAGATGGTTCCTGATTACTTGACCTGCTTAGGGTAGTGCTGCACGCCTGTCATCAGGAGGCTGAAGCAGCATTTCAAGTCTGAGACCAACCTAGGTAATACAGTCAAACCCTGTCTCTAAAAGCAGAGAGATTTTATGCAGCACTAAATATTCCTTTTAAAGAGAGACAAAGGTGGCTGGAAAGATGGCTCGGAAGTTAAGAGCAGATGCTGCTATTGCTAAAGACCCGAGTTCAAGTTCCCAGCATCCACACGGCAGCTCACAATTACCTGTAACTCCAGCTCCAGGAGACCTGACATCCTCTGGCCTCACTTGGCACACACATAAATATATACACATAAAATAAGAAAAAACTAAGTAAATAAAAAGAGACAAAGTAGGGGTTGGAGGGAACCTCAGTGATTAAGAGCACCGGTTGCTGGGTGGTGGTGGTGCACACCTAAAGAGTCCCAGCACTCAGGAGGCAGAAGCAGGCGAATCTCTGTGAGTTCGAGACCAGCCTGGGCTACAAGAGCTTGTTCCAGGACAGCCTCCAAATCCATAGAGAAATCCTGTCTCAAAAAACCAAACCAAACCAAACCAAACCACTGGCTGCTCTTCCGGAGGACCTAGGTTCAAGTCCAATTCCCAGCACCCATGTGACAGCCAGTTCCAGGGAATTTGATCTCTTCTGGCAATGCACACACACACAATACACAAACATACATTTTTACATAGGTAAACATTCCTACATACAAAATAAAAATAAATCTTTAAGGAGAGACAGAGTGCTTGGGTATTTTTGCCTTAAAAAAACAAAACAGCAAGTGTGCACATAGATAAGCTGGAAGCAAATATATTCAAAGGTTAAGAATGCAGAATTCTCCGTTGAAACACTTTTGCAGTAGTATTTTCAAAATTCTATCCTTTCTCCACCCCCTCAGAACCAAACAAGGATAGAACAGTGTGAAAAGCCCACAAGTGCCAAGCGTCTGAGTGTTAGCTCCAGTATTTCTATGTTTCCTTCCTGGTTCTCTTGGATTTCTATCATGTTTAATATTAATAGTTAACAACCATTCAAATAAACAGAAACAATATTAAGTGTGTCTTTTCATTCCCCCCCCCCCTTGCTTTTTTTTTTTTTTTCTCTCATTTGTTTGTTTTTTCCAAGACAGGGTTTCTCTGTACAACAGTCCTGGCTAGCCCAGAATTTACTTTGAAGCCCAGGTTGGCCTCGAACTCACAGGATATAACTGCCTCTGAATCCCAAGTGCTGGGACTAAAGGCATGTGCCACCACTGCAAGGCTCAATATCAGGTTTTTTTGGTTGTTTTAAAATTATTTATTATGTATAGTCTTCTGCCTGTGTGCCAGCAGAGAGCACCAAATCTCATTACAGATGGTTGTGAGCCACCATGTTGTTGCTGAGAATTGAACTCGGGACCTCTGGAAGAACAGTCAGTGCTCTTAACCGCTAAGCCATCTCTCTAGCCCATCAATATCAAGTTTTTAAAATAGATTTAACTATTCGTGTGTTAACTAGTGCTGAATCTTCTAAAGGAAAATGATCAATAAAACAAAAGCAAACTATTCTGAGATCTCATATCTTAATATCCTCTTGTTTAAATAAAACAAAATCCATTACAAAAAGAAAAAAAAAAAAAGACCAAAACCCCCTCAGCTTGTGAAGTACATGGTCCTCAAGATCTGTTACCTTTAAGAACATACTATTATCTCAATCACAAAGGATTTTAGAGCCTGGCCTCAATTTTGCAATGCTTCTCTGCCTTCTACATCCTGGGATTAAAGCAAGGGTCTCACACATATGAGGTTGAGTATTCTACAACTAACTACCCCCACAGCCTACACACTTTCCAATGAACAGGAAATAAGACTGAATCACTATGTTTTAACTAAGTATGGCTACTATTAATAATCCAAAGATGCTCTTGGTACTTAACATCCTGTTTCTGCTAGAACCTGCAGTGAGCACTGGTGAAACAAAAG